ACAGCAATTCTTAATATTGTTTCTAATGATCTCCTCAAATTCTTTATAATCATCATCATAAAGAAACTTTGCTTGCACATTCATATGGAAAACACATTCAAAACCTTTTCAACCAACAATTTATTGCTGTCCGACATTTGAAGTTATTATGGCACATCTTCTTTGGTTTCTATCCAGGGTTTCTGGCTCATAACCCTCTCCCCAACGCAGGAGAGCTGTGGAAACTCTGATCTTCCCCTACCATTCTGTCTTGGAGCTGGTCATAAAGAAATCCTCAGACCTATCCTGTCTTTCCCTGTCTTAAGACCCCCATTTCAGAAGGGTCCTGCTCCATAGCCCTGGAGGGAGGAATACTATACAGAAAGGAAAAGAGCAACTTGAATAGACAGGGCTGGCTGGGTCTGTTGGCAGTCGTGCCTTTGCAACCTCCAAAGGACAGGGTCCAGAGAGCTTCTAGGTAGCTGAATCCATGGAGGTCCCCAGAGCATGGTGCACCTAGAGAGGAGGGCGTGGAAGCCCTTCTCCTCTACCTTGCCCAGAGTATCCACTCATCCTCATCCTGTGTAATAGCCTTTTATTTATTTATTTATTTATTTATTTATCCCCCTCGGCACTGGTGATTAAACCCAGGACCATTCTACCACAGAGATACATCCCCAGCCCTCTCCATTTTTCATTTTGAGATACAGTCTCACTAAATTGCCAAGGCTGGCCTCAAACTTGTGATCCTCCTGTCTTAGCCTCCCGAGGTACTGGGATTACAGGTATGCACCGCTGTAACTGGCTTGTGATATCCTTTATGATAAACTGGGACATATAAGTGAATGTCTCTAAGTTCTGTGAGCTGCTCTAGCAAATTAATGGAACCCAAGGAGGGTGTTCTGGGAACCCTGGTTCACAGCCAGTCAGAAGCACAGATAAACAACCTGTGGCTTGCAACTGGCATCTAAATTGTTGGGGTAGAGGGACTCTTGGGAACTGAGCCCTCAATCTGTGGGACCTGATGCCATTTCCAGTTCAACAGCATCATCACTGGATTGGACTACAGGGTGCCCAGCTGGTGTCTGCCACTGCAGCTCTGTTTGCTTGCCAGTGGAGAGAAATCCCCACATCTTTTAGGGCTGGGGAAGCCTTCTGTGTTGCAGAGGACAAACAGTCTGTTCTGATGCAGGAAGAGTCTCTAGTGCAGATACTTTTTAACAGATGGATTTGGGGTGCGCCACCCCTCATCAGGGAGATGCACTCTTCAGGAATTTTATGGTGACTTAATCACGTCTGATTGATTATTAACTCCAGCCCTGGCTTGTCACTGATAGTTCCAGCTTCCAGTCATGGCCTGGTTCTTCTGGTGACCCATCCCCACCTGGGAGCTCACCTAGAGTCACCTCATTAGGACAAAAGACACTCATGCCACCCAGAAAACCCTAAGGGACTTAGAAACTCTGTATCAGAAAAATGGGGTCAAAAATCAAATATTGCACCAAAAATGCTCCTAGAACCCCATCAATCACCGAATTACAAGAGCCTCAGGAGCCACGTTCCAGGAGCTGGGGACAGAGGCCAAATAGATGTATTTTTATTATGCCACATTTCCCACGGAGGAATTACATTTCCCAGTACCCCCTGCCTGTAGCTGGGATCATGGGAGGGGCTCTGGCCAAGGGAGTGGGGGCAGGAGCACTTTGCTCCAATTCTGGACTGACTCACACTGTTTCAGTGTGCTCTGTCCCATCCCCACCGCCAATCAATGTGGATGCCAGTGTAGTAGTTACCTATTGCTGTGTAACAAGTTACCCCTCAATTCTTCCCAGCTTAAAAGAATCAGCATTCAAGGCTGAGGTGTGGTTTAGTGGCAGAATGGTTGCTTGGCATGAGCAAGGCCCTAGGTTCCACCCCAGCACCGTGAGTCTGAAGGTTGGGAATCCAGAGCATGGTGGCTGGTGGCTCTGGATCAGGGTTTGACTGAGTCTCAGTCACGCCCTTAGGCAGGGCTTCTGTCTGACTGGGGCTGGAGAACCCACCTCCCAGGTGCACATGGTTGACGGCTGGAGGCCTCAGTTCTTTGCTGGCTGTTGGCATCTCCACAGTCGCTGGGTCTAACTCAAGGGAGAAGGACTAGAGAGGGAGAGGGAGAGGGGGGCTTCAGAGAAGCCATCCCCCACTTCCACCAGAGGGGGCCGCACTGTGAGCCCCAGGGGTGGGGATCCAGGAGGTCCACCTTGGACTCAGCTGCCAAACCAGGGAGCCCTTGGAAGCCGCAGCTCAGGACAGCAGAGCTGCCACCAGCCTGGGCTCCTGTCCCCGTCTCTGTATTTTTTTTTTTTTTTAAAGAGAGAATTTTTAACTTTTATTTTTTAGGCGGATACATCTTTTGTTCATATGTGGTGCTGAGGATTGAACCCGGGCCGCACACATGCCAGGCGAGCGCGCTACCGCTTGAGCCACATCCCCAGCCCTCCCGTCTCTGTATTGATTGGACTTTACATAATGAGAAGGAACAACCAAGTGTTCCACCCACTGAAATTTCTATTTACCAATCCCTGTGGTTCCCTTGGTGTGATTAGCATGGGGATCCACTGTCAGGGGACAGCGCCTGCGATACCGAACATGCAGCACTTTGTGACCTTACTATGCCCACAGATGTGTTGATTAAAAATATGAATAAAGAGAACCTCATCAACCCAAGAGGCAAACAGGGTGGAAAGCTAATGCTCAATCCATTCCAGAGGGATCAAAGAGCTCAGTGACAAACAAGAAACCATAATAAAGTAAGTAAACACCAGAAAGTTCCTTTATGAGCAGGCCGTGGAGAAAGCCTTTGAAGTGAGATTCAAAATCCAGCAGCCATAAAAGAAAACACTGAATACATTGAAATTCACAACGTGGAAACAAACGTTCTTTCTCTTCCCTTTCCCTTTCATCAGGGAGATGCACTCTGGCCCCGAGGTGGGAGCCCAGCAAGGGACAGTGGTCCAGAGGTGGGAGCCGCGGCCTTGCTGGGTGCGGAGGGCATCTGCTGGGGGAGCAGCCCAGCACCTGGGGGGCGTGAGGCTGGGGAGCCTCGAGCGAGCGGAATCAGAGCCCAGGCTGGGGAGGAGGGGAAGGCAGCGGAGATGGGACAACCAGGGACTCGAGGAACATGAAGTCATACTCTCACTGTTGGAAAAGGAGGCAGATGTAGAATAGGAGAGTAGGAGGGGTGGATCTGAAGTAGATGTATCTTGTGGCTCCATGGTTTTCAGTAAATGTAAATAGATACAGAGATTTAGAGATGCGTACGTACACATGTGTGCATGCGTACGTGTGTGTCAATGTAGATGTGTGTCTACACATAACACACACTGCATCAAATGCACATTCAGTGTCTGGATACAGCATGATGCATGGGGCACCAGGAGGGCTGGGAGGGTAGCTCAGTGGTAGAGGGCTTGCGTAGCATGCAAGAGGCCCTGGGTTTGATCCCCAGCACCGCAGCAGAAGCAAAATATAGTAAACAACATGACACATAAATGTCTGTACATTGCACATATGTATATATGCATGTGCACATACATGCAGGAGTGTACATTGATATACCTAGGAAATGTGATCTGTAGAAAGCCCTCCATATCCATGGGTAAGTAAATCACACTCGTACTGAACATGTAAGGATTTTTCCTTGTCATGACACGACACCACTGGTGGCCATGGCTCATGCCTGTAATCCCAGTGGCCCTGGAGGCTGAGGCAGGAGGTCCGTGAGTTCAAAGCCAGCCTCAGCAATTTAGTGAGGTCCTTAGCAACTCAGTGAGACCCTGTCTCTAAATAAAACATAGAAAGGGCTGGGGATGTGGCTCAGTGGCTAAGCAACCCTGGGTTCAATTCCAGGTACCAAAAAAAAGAAAATTATATCAACTATTTGCATAGCATTTGGATTGCATTAGTAT